AAAAACTGTAGGCAGGGGGAAAGAAGCTTGCATGGCTCTCTCCAACGTTTGAAAATCCATCTACCAACAGTTCTAAAACACAAATTAACACGTTGTTTCTTGTTTATTAAATCCATACACAAACAGAAATATAAAAAGTGAAATTAGTGGTTTCAGCTAGTTAAGTGGTGTAACTATTTCAGAAGAGTTTTCAACTTCAGGCACATTTCGCAACTTCATTGAGTTTTGCTGTCACAGTGAGGTTGCCAGGCTTGATATGTGCCTGTACAGAGATCAATACCAAAACTGCTCACCAGCTGTATCTGGCAACCCATGCTGTAGCTGTAGGCGCTGCACAGAAGTACTGGACAGATGGAGACTGTTGTTTGACAAGATATAGTTTGAGCATGTCACAGCGAAGGCACAAATTCTTATTTTTACATTACTGTTTGTGTATGGATTCAACATGTGAGATACAACATTGATTGGTGCGATTGGTGTTTTTAAAGTGTTGGCTGGCATTTTTTTAATTTGCAGAGACCCTGGCTGTTATGGTTGCTTCCAGTCTTTACGCTATAAGCTAGGCTAACCATGTCCTTAAAGCTGTTCCATACTTAATGCACAGACATGAGCTTGATGTCGATCTTCTCATCTAACTAAGGAAAAGTTGTATGTAACTATTCATTCAAGTATTTGTAGTTAATGAATGCTGAAAATTCAGTGCAAAACCAGCAATATGGTTCTTTACAATTTGCTTAGCACTTTTGTCTGAATGATCAAGATAAGTTTATTTAGTTTACATCCAGACTCAGGAATTCAAAGAGTGACCATAACAAACATCTAAACTTAATTGCAAAACAGGAAAAGATGTTAATATTGCTTCAATATAGTCATTTTATGATATTGCAAACAGGTGGATAGGATAATTTTTTACACAGATGTAACTATAAAAGTCTCAAGTCAGCCTACCCACCAAAATGATTTCAATTTGAGGTTAATTTCAATGCTGTTCAATCTCTCCCTGTGTAAAGTAACTGATAGCTTCCACAACACTGAGGGCGCAAGATCGACTTTATTTACTCACTTAATCACTACATCTGGAAATTAATGATCCGCTTGATTAACAGCAATCAAACACTGACATCAGCTTGTGTTTCCAATGGTACATATCACTGCATATAATTTTTCAGTCTTTCCTTTTCAAACAATTGAAACGTCCTTTCAATTTTCTCAGGTGTCAGTTGGGAGCAGCTGTTTAATGAAGTGCTGCGGCAACAGACTGACTCATATACAGTATGCATTTCCTAAGGAGTGACAATGACTCATAAAACAACTGCCGCAGGAGTACACATGCTCACAAACACATACCAAGGTGCACATATACTTTGGAACACAAGCACATATATTTAGATGAACATCTTTGTAGGCAGCATTCTCCTGAGAGCAACAGATTTCTTGGCTTTGCTGTGTCAGCAATTAATAAATTCAATCAATCAACAATATCAATAAACACATCTGAAGGAAAGTGACTGCTTTGAAAAAGATATCAAAGGTCATCATTTGAACATGAAGTGAGGCAAAACATTAATTTTTGATGAGTACCTTAGATTACAGGAAATATTCCAAGCTCTACAACGTATAGCATGGTATACATGAAAGGCTGATCAAATTCAGCACGCAGGACACAAAATGGAGAACAGGCAGAAGAGATAAGACATTAAAAAAAATAGGTGAGGAGGAAATGAGGGAAAGTAGAAAGATATTGGAGGAAGAGGAGCAAGACAGATGGAAAGAAAATTACTTTTGACACAAGCGGGAGATGAGAGCAAAGGGAGGGCTGAATTATCAGATGTACATCTTTGTGTGTGTGTGTGTATGAAAATGTGCTGATGAGTATGTGTGTTTGGTGTGGGCGGGGGTGTTTGTGAGTGTAAATACATGCATGTCCTGACAGACTGCTGTTGACTTGTGAGAGATGTTTCTGGCCTATTCCCAGCCTTTCCAAGCTCACTCATAAATAAAGCTGAAAGGCTCACTTTTACAAAATGCCTCCTTTGAAAAGAGACGAATTCTGGTCAAAGACAACACAAGCAGAATCTAAAGGAGATCCGTGTTCCCTACAACCTCTTCAACATTCCTTGTGCTTCTCCATCTTTCTCTTTTTTTTCTGGATACCCCTTTATTCAATTCATTTTATTTCCCCTCACTTTTTTTCAAAGCGCTTAGACAGAGAGAGTGGCGCTTTCCCCCCATCCCGTTGGAGCATCAATATACAACAGAGCCCAGAGATCCAAACAGGAGAAAGGCTGAGGAGAACAGCACAACACCAATCCATAATGGATTTTCTTCTGTCTTTCATTCGCTTTCTGCAGGGAGATGGAGTGGAGGCAACACTGCCACAGAAAGAGCGGGGGGGGGGGGGCAGAGAAGACGTGAGAGAAAGAGAAAGAGAGAGAGCGACAGAGAAAGAAAGAGAGAGAGATATCAACGGGGGGAAACAGAGAGGCCGACAGAGACTCAAAACAGCCCTCAAGAATATTTCTCTCATCTGTCTCTAGAGGGCTTGCATAACATATGCTTTAATATGCTTTAAACTATTTGAAAGGCCAAGCTCATAGCAGAAGGTGACAGGAATTAATAGAGGCTTTGGTGTGGCTTCAACTGATCAGATGCAGAAATTGTCACTAATTAAGTTAGCCTGTAAGTGGGAGACTGCCAAGAGGTCTGACAGATATCAGACTGCAAGCAATAATATCCTGAAATACAAAAATGCATCAGTGAATAGCAGCTCTCTGGCTGTATCTCATAATCACTGCTAATACTAACAGGAGCCTGGCTCTTTAGATGGCAATTCAGCCTAACAATATTTATTTCTTAAAGTCCTGAATAGTTGAAAACGTGTTAACTTGGTGAGCATGAAACTCTGCGGACCAGAGAGACAATATTTCAGTTTGCACAGGCTGTTAAATTGACGATCATACAGGAGGATGAGACTGTTGATTCAGAAATTGTTTGTTTGAGGCTTCACACTCAAGTGAGCTTCATTTCATTTTGTTGGTAGCTCTGAAGCACAAAATGTGCCCAGAATCCCAGTGATTAACTAGTAGATTCTGTCAAAGTGTCTACAGAGTCTCCAGTTTCCAGTCCACTGCCTTCATCAATACCTTCATCAGTTTTTTTTAGTTCAATGTAATTTTATTATTGACCATCCTTTTTAATTGGTTATAATAACAATGTGCTCACTGCTGTAATTGCTGAGATCTGGGAAGACAGTGACATCACTACAATAAAAGGACGAACAGACAGGTTCTAAACAAGAGTTTAGCCGGATTAGCCACCACTTTATATGGAAACCAAATTGAGTGAAGTGACCTTATTAGTTATCTGAAATGTCACTAATAAGCCCTCATTGTATTCACGCTCAACTAAGCATGGGTCCAAGTTGAACCAGGAAGACGGTCTGTAAAGTTACATTTTTTTTTATAACATTCACCTCAGTTTCTCTTCCATATAAGCTTGGCTAAACTGGATGTCTGTTTGAAACATGTCCGATTGTCTGAATGCTCATATTTCCTGCTCTATCTGCCTTTTGTGGGCAATATCACAGTGTTCCCAGATCTTAGCCCTTTACCCCCCACCGTTGCACAAACACTTAACTTTCATGGAATGCTAGTACTACAAAAACGACTCCCTTTTTTTGGTCTTTGCAATCATTTTCAAATAAAAAATTGCTTTTCAGATGAAATAATCTAGATACAAATCACAGCAGGGTATACAGCTGAAACCTTAAAAATAAGGTGATCTTACCTTCAAAGCAATCTGACAGGCCAACAATATAATACACATTTTATGTCCTTTTTGCAAGTGTCTTTCGAAAATAGTCAATTTGGGGTGGTTAATGTTGGGACTTTTCCTGTTTTAAGTCATGGTTTTGTGTTTCTTCTGTGCAGCCTTGTTTCTTTTTATGTTTAGTTGCATGTTAGTCATTACCTGTTCTATCTCTTTCCTTTTCTTATATAAGTTCTTAGATCTGGTTTCTAGTTCATTGTTTCCCATTTAGATGTTACATGTGTTCTGTTCTGGACTCTTGTCATTTGTTCTGATTTTTGTCCACTTGTCAGTCTGTCTTGTCCATGTCATCTGGTTCTGTATTTTGTGAGTGGTATGTTCTTGCCTCAAGTTAGAGTTTGTTTGTGCACCCTGTCTGTTCTCTCCTTGTATCTGTGTCTTGCTTTGCTTCCTGTTTATTCCGAAGTAGTCCTATGTCTCCATGTTTAGTGCAGTCCTGTTTCCTGTTTGGTCCTGTCTCCATGTTTTCTGTCTTACTTTTGTAACTCTGTCCTTGTGTGTCCCTGTGTGCTTTACTTCCTGCATTATTTTGTAGTAATCAGTTTTCCTGTGTCCTTGTCTAGCTTTGTTTCCTGTTGTTTGATTACCTGATGTGTTTCATCTGTGCGCTCCCTCCCTGCTTGTTTGCCTGTGTATAGCCCTCAGTTCTGTATTGTCTTTGTTGCATCCTCGTCAATTGAGAGTGTTCTGTCTGAGCTTAGTTTCCTTGGTATTGGATTGTTCCCTTTTGGATTTTACCTGTGTTTTTGGATTTACCCTTTTTTGTTTGGACTCATGCCTTGTGCTCCTGTGTAAACCTATATTTTTCTTTACAACAAATATCCTGCACTGCATCCTCCTCGCCAATGTCTGCATTTGGGTCCTGACACTGTACTCAGCTATACCATGACAGTTGACTCATTGAGTTCTGTGTCATTATTCCGATTCCATGATTTCCATATCTATGACCGATATTGTAATAAACCCCGAATTATCCTCTAAATGTTCGACAATCTTAACTTTGTCATTTTAACATTTAACCTTCATTCACTAGCAAATTAGAAAAATTATGTTTCCCATGGGTTCCATGACAACGCTATAAAAATCTATGTCAGCACTCAAGTCAAATAAAACCCTTGACATAATAAAAACCAACACATATATTGCACATAAAAAAATTAGGCCGTCTTTACCGTGTACGCAGGTTCCCCGGGCTGGGTGGCCCGTCATATACAGACAAGATGTCAAAGTCCTCCTCTAGGGCGAAGCCTTGAAACACCAGCTGTATTCGGTTGTGCTCCGCTGCCACAATCACCCATGTACAGTTGGCATAGTTAGGATAACCGTAGGGGTAGCCAGGGCTTTCTATCGTCCCATTGGGACTGTGTAGTGTGTAACTGCAGTTCTGAGCTGTGAAGAGAAGAAGAAATAGGCAGTTATTAAAAGGTTGTAAGGTATGTTAGAGCCGCTAGCAGTGTGTAGAAAGTTTTTAAAGACCATTAAACCAAATAAAAGGCACTCTTCTATATCCAAGAATGGAAATTATACAAACCCACACACACATACACAACTACACACCCACAGTCAAACGGTTTTCACCAAATGCGGCAACATCCATTATCACCTACAACGTGCAGCATAAGCCATTAATATAGCACCGCTAAATGGCTCGCCCTCTCCCAGCTTCCCCCACCTCTACCACCTCCATCATCACACACTTGTTCACTCACTGGCCCTTTCACCACATTAGTAATAGGTTCCCACGTTAATACATGACATCGCTGGAGGAGAGAAGATGAGCAGACAGGAGGGGAGGGGAGAGGAAACACACACAAAGGCATGCACACTTGAGTACAACATTAATTGAACTCATCTTGTATTTTCGCAGCCACTCAAACCGCCTTCAATCTTAAATTTCAATCATGTGTGTTGCAACGTATCAGTACTGAGCTTGCGGTGGATGTGTGGAGGGTGAGCTATGTGTGTGTCTTTTCAATCCTTAAGCTAAATGACTTGTCTTCGACTGATCCGAGCACAGCCGAGACTTCTAATCAATGTTAGGGATTTAGTTGTAATTAATCCCTAATGTGGACGGATGTGTGATTGCTCTTATATTTTGTGTAGCTGTGTTGTTTTAATTTAGTGCCTCTGTGTGAATATATGGATTAACATCACCCTGTAGTGAATAGCTCACTCTTTTGATCTTTGACATATTTAGGCTGTGATAGTAGCTGCAGTCAAAAAATGTATCTAAAAGTTCATTTTCACAAGTTGTCTCATGTGTTGTAGCTTTTGAACTAAAACAGCAGAAATGTGAAAATGTCCTCATAGAGGAACTATATTAGAATGTCATGCAAGAATACATGCTATTTATCCAAATGATCTGTATTTTCCCTTTGTTTGCTTCAGCCACAAACCTGAATCATAATGCAGCCTGATTAAAATGTAATTAGGAGAGTATAATTGGAGGACATCTGTTATCTGCATAACCCACATAACACAAACAATGCAACACTCGCAGTAGATATGATTTGTGTTTTCATTTATATCCATACTGTGTAAATGCCTGGGATAGCTCAGTGCATCTCAATGAGCTACACTACCTGGCTGCATTAAAACAGGTTATTAAAAAAAAAAAAACAAGATTCTTGAGTAAACACAAGCTTCGAAACATGTAAAAGTGAAGGCTGATTTGTTAAATCCTTCCAGGGGGAATGCGTATCCCTTATTGAATGCTTGTGAAACATACAGCGTTGGTGCTACTTTGTGTGCTTTGATGGTAGAACAATCCTAAAGCTGAAAATCTGTCCAAATTTTCACTCTGAAACGTGCCTCGTGTCTGAAAAACCAGCAGGGATTTCCAGGTAATAAGGCGCCATGCGTGAAGACAAGACAACAGAAAAGAAAATAACTGGGGCAATTTTCATTCCTCTCACTCTTACTCACAACTGAAATAAATAATATATTGTTTTTTAAAGAAAGCATGGAGAGAAAAAGAGAAGAGAAAAATATTAAGCATGGACATGGATAATCCATGGTTAGCCACATGAGCGAATGCTGCATTTGTTTTCACAGCAATAATTGAGCCCATTGTTTAAGAATTCAGGGGCTACATACCACATCAGGGTATCATTGTTCCAGGTAGCACAGCAAACAGCAAAAGCATGTTTTTTTTTTGGGGGGGGGGACTTGAACCCTGGCCACTTGAATACACTTTAGTTAGGTGTATAATGTTGCATTAAGAGTTCAGCTCTTTGTTTGCTATGGAGGTCTGCAATGAATTTTTTGGAAAAACTACGCAATGAAATTAATAATACTATAAAATGAGATTATCTGTGACTAAATAAGACCTAATGTATAGTGCTGAAAATAACTGACCATCTCAATGTGTGTTTCCTCGTATCTTTTAACAGGAGAACAAAGAGGGAGCTAACTCCATCTGATTTTTCATTAAAGCCTTTAGGCCCAGCAAGTGAGCATCCACCCTTCCAATCAGCATTGGGTCAATACTAATATCCAGGTAAAACCTCCAAATCCACCTCTCCTACCTGATTTTCATATACACAGCCTGGTCAATAATCTCCTCATCATCTCCTTCATTACGAGGCCTCTATCAGACAAATGCCAATCAATGGCTCATACAGTGGCCTGATGGCAGAGCTTGATGGGGGTCAGAGTGAAGTGTGACCCTCTCGCGCTTGCTGGCTGAATTACAAAATGATACCAGGGAGGTTAAGGCAACTGATTTATTATTATTAATCAGTTTCAGAAAGACATGATTCTGTGACTCTTGAGGCTCAACAGACAAATCTTTCATGTTAGCTTTCAATATGTTCAGAGTGTACTGTAACCCTCCTCAGTGTGAAAACACTACTGAAAGCCGAACAAAGACACCAGAGGAGTACGTCTGGCAACTGAATAAAGTGTTTCATATCATCTGAGTGGATGTGTGGACGGTACATGCTGTATATATTGATATAGGACAGGTGATCAACCGGGTAGGAGAACAGACTCCCTGTTTCATGAGTACAAGTAAGCGGGGCAAAAAAAATATAAAACATCATGACAGAGAATAAGTCTGCCAGAGCTCTACCAAATGCTATTTTGAAGTGTGAGCACTTGTGCCAAGTGACCAACTCTTAAATCGATAATGACGCGCGCAATCTAGGATAAAAGACCAAGATAGTGCTTTCAGAGAGGTTGCTTTTTTGGCTGCAGCCAGAAACATTTTATCCTTGCTGAAAAATAGATGGGCAAAATTGAATTGGACAAAGAACAGACACATCAAATTTCACTCGAGAAGGCACTTTTGTGAGCATTAAGGACCGCTTCACAACATCATCAAGTTTGATTTTCACATTCCGAAGTAAAAACTTTTTTGCTGCCGTGTGTAGTCATATTGATTGCTATTTTCCTTGGATCAACCGCGACAACCACGCACAAAATAGTTTACCGCCATATGATACAAGTGCAGTTGCAGGTAAAAATGGAGGTACGGTAAGTCAACTCTCTCTGTTTGAAAACGCAGGGCCTTTGATTAAGTAGATCATGCACTCAGGGCTTGGTTGAATTATTCAAGCCTCGCCCAGGGTGCATTATGAAATTAACTGCTGGGAGCTTGTGACCTACTGTGAAGCCCCTCAGTGTAAATCTGCAAAGAAATGCCCATCCTGCAGTTGACCCCACTGACACACCGTAAAGACCCCATAAACAGACTGCTGGCCATGCTCTTTTTAGCCCGGCTAGACCACCGGTAAAAGTAGAAGGTCATGTTTTCTCAAGTTGTGTAAGTTCAGGTGAACCATTATGAATATGGAAAAGTAGCAAACACGCTGGGTCAGCAATTAGGAAAATTGCTAACTTGTTTTAGTGGTGTGTGTATCCTTCAGCATGTCTATGGGTACTATTTGCATTGGCTTGTACTGGAATGTTAACTACGCCTGATATCTGTGCATGTTCAACAGATATGTTGTCCACTGCTTAGCCCACTGTGCCACTGGCAGCATCCGCTTGGCACTAACCATCTCCGGTGTGTACGCCACCAAATGGATGTACAGGGAGAGGTATGACCTTGCTGGGGCAGCACTCCAGTTTCTGCTTGTGAGTGTGTGTGTGTGTGTGTTTGTGCGTAGGAGCTATTGTTTGCTTTGCCAGGGCAGTTGTTTAGTAGCGGGCATACAGAGCTGCGGCAGTGCGCTGTGACACTTTGATAAATCGCTGGTCACTGTGCTGTACTTCGGCAGGACAGCAACCCCTCAGAGCGGAGGAAGGAGACAGGGAGAGACCAAAGGAGAGCAAGAGAGTGAGGGCGAAGGGGGCAGACAGCCACAGAGTAGACTGACTGGCTGACTGAATGTATGGACACATGAGAAAATGGATTTGGACATGACGTGATGAAGAATAGAAGCAAAGGTGGGATGAGGGACAAACTAGGGGGAATAAAAAAACAGCAGCAGAAAGGCAAAGACTGGGAGGAATGAAAGTGCGCGGGAACGAACATGTCAGAATGTCAACAAGAAGAAGAGCAACGGCCGATGGGAGTAAATGAGTTGGAAAGAGGAGGAAGACCATATACAGGGATTTTTTACCTATTCTCTGCATCTGCATCGTTGCCCTTCTGTGCTGAGGTCACAGAGACCTAGTGTGACATTCACAGCAAGATAGCGCTTAATCTGCACTGTTAGCAAATACTAGAGGTCTATTTGGAGGGATGCTTCAGCAATATGTGAGTATGTGTGTGTGTGTGTGTGTGTGAATTTTGTTTGTGTGAAGTGAGACAAGTGTGCACACATGTCTGCATATGGGGGTATCACTTGTCCGTACATATATGAGTGTAATCCCTATACTCTGGGTGAGTGTAGTGTCACATATCTGCATGTCACTCCTCGGCCTAGATGCACTGGGTACAGCGACTCTCAATAGGGGGAAATTTCATCTTCCCAACATCACATTCACACACACAAGGCCATAAAAAACACAAACAATACCTGCAATACAAAACTGCAAATCTCTTTTCTGAGCTCATATCTCTTTATCACTTCCCGCCTCCGTCTAGTCTTCTCATTTACAATTGAAGTTTTCCTTTGGACAAAAGACAAAGACGCAGAGTCCATCCTGTTTAGCAGAAAATAACAGAGGTGCCCTGCGTTTTAAGTTGTGCATGATGAATCCAACTGCAGACAATGAAACTTTTGGTTGATGTTTGAGAAAAGTCCTTTGGAATTCCAATATTTCTAAGCATGGCACATTGTTGATAAATGTACGCAGCTAGGAAACACTAAAGAAAATATTGAAATGATAAATCAATTCAACAGACAATTACTGTGCAATTGTTCCAACTGTAGCCCTAATGTACAGTATATTTAAGGAAACCTTAGTCACACAACCATACGCTCGCCCATTAAATCGAG